TCCAAAGGACTTGCTTTCAGTACACCGCCTTCCTTCCCTCTCTTCCTGCCGCCATCCCTGCGTCCTCTGCTTGTGGAGCATGACGAGTGTGAAGCTGAAGACAGCACAACTGTCAACAAACCCGTAAGCTTGAGTGTGCCAGATGCAATCACCCCAGCCCGTTTGATCACGATCACCTTGGTCTATTCATCAGCTTGGTGGCGAGCTATCATAAGTGACCTCAGAGCTAAAGTGATCAAACTGGATGACGACATTGTCAAGCCTAATGCTGGTGATGGTGGGGGTAGCACAAATTTGTCCGCTGAACTTTTCGCGCTATTGCCAACTGACAGAGAGAATCGGGGCTTCTGCCATGTCTTTCGTGACATGTGTCCAAGCGTAAGTTGCACAACTTCATTGTATTTTACTGTTTGTATTATCCCCTTAGTATGAACAGTCACGAACATGTCGTCGTAGCTAGTTTATCACGTTATACGTAAGAATCTTGGTGGATTCCCTGGTAACTTCCAGGTAGCAATGGTGACCGATAGTGACCGTGATTCTTTTTCAAAGCATCTGTCGTATTCTTTAGTAAATGTAGACTGAAAGTAATTGCTGTTTCTCCGGTTCCTTTCTGTTGCTGTTGACCGTTCTTTTTCTTTAGCTTCAGTCTCCCGGCGTGCTGCAGACACAGATTTTCGCCGCGGCTGCCGACCATTGGTGGGACAAAAGTGATATACTTCTCACCGCAACTGTTGATCGACACCTCAAAGTGCTAACGTCACACATGGATAACTCTGGCACCGAGGATACCATGCGTCTCGTGTGCTATCACGTGGCTCGTTTGGAGCATCGCAACCGCACGTTGTCTGCAACACTACCTCGACTTTGCGTTCAGGTGGAAAATGACCAACAGTTGTTTCTCAAACCTGGTGCTTGGGAGGAACTGGCACGTCATTGTCACATTATCATCGTTGATTCGGTGTTTTGCCCCGTAGAGTCCTCTCGTCTTTTCCTTAACCCATGGACCACGGACGGTGCACGCTCCTTACATTTGGTACGTCCCTTTCATGTTCCCTTCTTAGGCAGCCCTTTACTCGGTTTTACGATCCCCGTTGACTGTAGGTCGATGATTTTCTTCATCTGTGTGTAAACTACGAACGGAATAACATTAAAACAACTTCCGTAGATATCCTCCTTTCTTACCGTCACGGACGTTTTGTGGCAACCTCCCCCCCCCCATACATGCATATTTGTTCCTCATCGTGCCTGTTTCAAAAGCTGCTATCAATTGCTGCATAACCCAAGAAGCTGTTAATGTTATTATTTGATGTTTACTTCCGTGTTACATTCTGACATGCATTTTCCTGCCCTTCAGACTTCTTCTGCCATGGATACCCTGACTTCTGCCATTCAATCGGGTGTCGGGATGGCGGAGTTCGCCCTTCGATTCATGACTTCTTTGGATACACGTTCTGACGTGCTTGATTCGGTAACCGGTGATCACGGTACAAGTCTACTGGATAGCTCAACCTGTGCTGGAGACTTTACAACTGAAACAAATGACGCCAACACTTCGCACGAATCAGATAGTGAAATGCAACCGGACGATTCCTGCTCCGTGAGTGCTCGTGCCAGACGTCTGTTGAAACGAAAACATCTGGACAATACTGAGGATATTGAGAGCACTTTGGTTACCCCCTAATTAATCACCCACCCAAATTGTACATTGTACATACCACTCTTTGTCTCTGTCCTACCCCTATCTCTGGAATGCATTTATCCTGTTCTATAGTCAACCTCTACCTGGAGCCAATGTATCGCTGTACAGGTCTGTTACTTTGTGTATGTACTGTCTACAAAACTATTTTTTACCGTCTTTTATGCAGGGTTTGTTTACGCGGATTATCCCAGATTGTGTATTGTCCTGCTAGAATCTCGAACTTCAGCAAGACCCAGTAATAAGTGCTGTACTTTTGTAAATGGTCAGACCACGTCTTTTAGAGCCAACAGCCGTATTAGACACTCGGGCGGTAGTAAATATGTAAACTCCTCGGGATCCGAAACAGTATTTCAAAGTCTAGTCGATTAGTCGCTCCGTTAGCATAGTTTGACTCTTGGCTCTTACATTTCTCGCCCACCGATCATGTAACCTTACGTCCTAACAAAGCATTAAACTGCTGGTAGATTAAGTCGAGCAAGTTGAGGTCATCGTTGTTTGTCAGAGTGGTCACCTGAAAGAACCGACCAAGAGTGGCCTTCTACGAGATCGTCTCTCTTTGGAGTGAATTTTCTGTTGGAATGTACTCTAACGACCAAGTGAACGTGGGCGAATTTGATCATCACTCTTCTACGGGAAGCAGCCGTATCACCCATCAATAACTTGGTCTTCCAATTTTACAGGAACATATGATTATTTAGTCTCCGTTACCATATTGATGCCTGAACAGCTGATTTTTTGCCTGTCCTGGGAAACACGCTCTCCAAAATACAGCTGTTCCCTTCCGTGGAGGTTTTTTGATAAGGTTGACGGATAGCGGTTTCCTCACGAATGAACTCAACCCTATAGGGGTGCTCCCTCTACAGGAGGATATATATGGTGCTTAATGAAATTATCATGAGCACTTTGTTAGCTATCCAATAAAATTTTCACGAGGATAGGATACGATAGCACCCCCTGAATAAAGTTGTTGGTGTACGCTCTGCAGGAAATTCGATGTCTGTTGACATAAGATCATGTGACAAATACACTCATTTGCATACCATTTTGGTTTGCACAGGAGACTCAGCTGGAATCCCTTGTTTATGATATTCCTTAACTGAATGTACTGTACCAGTTCGCCTTGTGTTTGTTGGTACGATATCCGAATATCGCCATATATACGTAGCACACTACTCATGAGGTTGCTGGAAACTTGCTAGGCGGAATTTCGCACCGATACCGCTTTATCGCTTACAGTAAGGCGCTGCTACGGCCGAGAATTCTGTCCCGCACGCGATTAGCCGGAAGACGGCCGCTTGCCGGCCCAGCAGGAAGTCAGGCTCTGGACCCAACAGCCAGTCATGATCCAGTATCCGCCGACTGGCGGTTGCCAACGGCATATCTAGAAGGCTTCGGAATTTTCAGAATGTTGTCGCCACAAATACTTTATATACGGAGAGCCGTACAGGTGTTTTTGACCTGGTTGTTGTACACTTTTGATGGTTGTCTTGACGTGAACGCTAGTTTGAAAGGTTCGGATCGAGTACTAAGCTGAGGAAATACGGTTACTGCAACTTCAACTGAAGAGGATCATCATAAACTAGTGATTCGGCTGGGACTCAGGCGTCTCTTGAAATACGAATTCCAATGCAAGTGAGTGTTTTTGTCGAATTTCGTGCAGAACAAAAAGTTGACGGAAACCCTGCGTGTGCTTGGTTATCCTTAAGAATGGCGAAGTCATTCATGGGCTGTCGAAGAGTTTTCAGCACCCTTATAAGTAGTGTATTGCGTCTATGCATGTATCGTGATATCTCGAATATCGTACCAACTGAAACATGAGGTGGCCTGGTGCAGTGCATTCAGCCGCTTAAAAACATCGCAAACATCAGCAGCAGCCTTATTACTAGTGTGTCCCATCGGCATAAGGTCACGTGGTTTGCCTACTTCTTTCCGATAGCTTTTGTTCTACTCTAGAATAATATACTCAGATAAGACCACCCCCGAAATAGATTATCATTACATTCGGGAGTCACCTGAAAGATATTAGCGTTCAGTCGTTTTATGTGGTCTATCATGTGGTTAATCAGAGGCGTACTGGGTACCGGAGTGCGAACCCATTTCATCCCATCCTACTTGTGAGAAGGACACGTCTCGGAGTAATCTATTTCGGAAGTTGGAATGGCCCCACAAAATCTCTCATGCACTTCAAATCTACAGTTCAGCTGCGACTGTCAATTAGTTTATGGGTTGCATTGGTTTATGTATAGCGATTCACCCTTTATCTTCAGTGAGCCACGGCAAATAGTTGTTCGTTACCACTGTTTACAGCTAAAATTCAAGTGTGGATGCTCGAAGAGTAGATGCGCATCGATTTTTTGATTGGCCAAATAACGCGACTGATCGAACATTCGAGCCTAAATCAGCCTACTCACTGGATTGCCCGTGCGTTTTGGAACATGTGGTTAGACTCCTGCCGATCCAACAGTATGCACCGCTGGCGTAGGTGGGTGAGATCTGATCCGTTTGTCTACAATTGGATTTCTTAGCTCATGACGAAGCATGATTTGTGTGCGGCATCGAAATACCTGGGTTGTTGCAACTGAGCCATGTTACGTCGAATCAGCTTGACCATTCTTCAAGACGTTCTGAGTGTTAAATATGACACCTATGTCAGCCACCGTTGAAATTCCTCGATTTGGGTCCCTCCTGGAAGCGCCATCGGGATTAGAACCTTTATTAAAGGGTCTACTTTGTTCTCGTCTCGCGGACCTCACCTTAAGTCGATCAACAACACCAGGGTCTTCAAAGGTACCGGAAAGTTTGGTCAGTGGAGCCCCACTACTTCCCAAAGAAAATCGAAATCTTCCAGCTATAGCACCCTTTCGGTGCTTAGCTGCCATGCCATCCGGAGGAAGCACAAGGGCTGAGGTACTGCCAGGTTGCCTAAGCCCAGACGGGAAAAGTCGAGAGACAGTCTGGTTGGAGCCACGGTCAGTAAATTCGGGTCCTAACCACAGCCATCTCGCCCCTCCCCTACTTCCCAAGAGGAGCCATTCTATTTAGAAGTTAGGAAACGCGAACGCTACTTGAAAAACTAGTTGATTTCTGGTTAGTTATGGCAGGCCCGCTAAGTTTAGCTCCGTCGGTTACCCCCTGTGGAGAATCCTGGTGCCAAACTGACGGGTCAATGGCTTCTCGACTAACTCATCATGAAGACGTCTAACTAAATAACCCAAAGAAACATGAAACAGCAGATGACAAAAGATAGCAAAATGACAGAAAGGTGTACAGTATCTGCTACATTTAACGACCGATTGTGGTCCGTAGTTGGCAGGTATCCATTACGGGTTTGCCCATTAACAGTGGTTGGAACACTGAACACATGGGCGTACTTATGATAGCAAAGACAGTTTGCACGAAACCTGGTGTTACTGTGAGTGAGTCTGTAAATCTGATATGAAACAGAATAATTATATTCGCCGGTGCCAAGGGTTTGAGTAAAGCGTCAAGTTTGGCTCCGCGCGAACCGTTTGCGGATGTCCTAGTATGAGCAGCTGCCCAGTTGTTGGGCCACCGTTCCCCGGTATATCCGATTCGGATATACTTTGGAAATCGCTATTACTGTAAAAATGCTACGGGTGAGTGACTTAATTGTAATTAGCCAGGTGGGTCAGATTTCGAAGACGTACTTTTAGCCCACCACCTAGGAACTTAGCCCGATGAGGAGGGGACCAATGTCCCATACTAACCCTTCGGGATAAAAACGAGCGCAATTAATATGTTCAGTCATTTTTTGTGCTTGTTTTATGGGGTGCATCATGGAATGTATCACAAAGTTTATGTGAAAAGGCTTATGGTGCGTAAGCAGAAGAAACCATTGTTGTTTGTCGTCAGAAGGAATGTATCAACCGTGGGATGCCAAGTGGAGAAGTGCATGTAGGTTTTGAAAAGGCAGATGAGGAAACCCGACTCCACACTGACACATTCCGTCCCATGAAAGACTGACAGGTTAATTAAAATTTGTGTCAATACGGTGGTGTTACACTGGATGAATACAGAGTTTGCACGCCCGTTACACTGGTCTGTCTTTCACCGTCCGTCGTGACTGGACTGATGACTTTTGTTTGAACATCCTTGGCGCACTCCATCCTGATTGGGGTCTGAAAGATCAATAATGAACGAATTTCATGTACTCTTCAGTGGGAACACTGGTAGTAATTGATGATACAGTTAAGTTAACACGCACTACCGCTTCGTCCATGAACGCAAACACAAGTTTTAACTTTTTTCGCAAAGGTAACCTTAGTTTTACATCCTGGTCATGGTGAGTTAAAGCGTCTTAGCTCAAATTAGCAGAAATCTACTTAGACAATTATTGATTAGCCAGTAACCACTACAGTAACTGCTCGGCTCCGAATAGAGGTTCCTTTCAGGCACAACTCCCTTTGAACGGAAAGGTACCTAAACAGACCACCTAGGCGTTTTCCCGGTGGCTATACTGTGCTATTGTTCATGATGCTGCCACCGACTTGCTCTGTTCGGAATGAGTGGCGCTAAATCGTGTGGAAATGAAAGTTAATCACACGATGCATGCAGTGGTGATATCACCTCGATTGCTGGCGAACTGTTTGCAAGCTAGCTGCCGAGCTACGTGAACAGATCAACGGTCAAGTGATCAACCATTAGGGTTAAAGCTTGTTAGAAGGACTACAGACGTGGTATGGAAACAGCGGACACCAAAACCAGTACACATCCAGCGATTTAAAAGCGATACGGTCTCGACATCACTCTAATGGATCCACAGTCCTCTATGGTTATCTAGTCACTTTCTGCGTTCCGCAACTTACCTGCGTCGCACGATTCGGCGTTTTTCTCGGGGAATGAAAGAACATTAGTCAGTTTACGGAAGAACTTCCAGGTCAAACACGTGAGAAGCATTAGCATTAACCACGCGATCGGTACAAGCTACCGCATCAATCCAGCAGAAACGATCACTATGATTTATTGAATATCTGATCAGATATCAAGTGTTTCCACCTGTTTTTACTTCGCGTGTGAGCAATAGATTTAGGGTATGTAGGAGGAGTGGAGACTTGTGTTTTAACGTTCGTTAGATTGGAGTGACCCGTGTAAACCAAGCCATCTGGTCTATAATAGTGTTATTTCGCACGTCTACTTACTTGCAGACTCTGGCTTATGGCTACGCTTTACGATTAATTCACGCAACGGCATTATTAGATGGTTGCCACAAATATGAGGAGAAGCGACAATCCGATGAAGCAGTGTAAACCGTCAACAGTTCAGGACGATTTCTCCGAAAAGGTCCGTCATCCGAAAACGAAGTCTGGTGGACAGGATCCAAATGCAATAATTAGATTTCAATTTTGAAGATAGTCAAAACCAGGGTTATTGTCATCCCTCAGGTAAAATTACAGATTAGGGTTTGCTAGTAGCCTAATTATAGTTACCCGTTGTCTAGTTTCGGATAAAATTTGTATAATTCTCATATACTTTAATTTGTTGGTCCGTGTTGCAATCCCAAACTAAATTTTTCACAACAACACCATTTAAAGGGGCACTTCTGCCATTTCATGTGACGAAATATGATAGACTGGGGACAGAACTTACACCTAGTTGAACCTCTGCAGCAGCACCCTCGAATGTCACCACTTTCTCTGCAAATTGGTTATCGACATTGAAATATGCCGAAATCCTGTCTCCAACCTGTTAGGACTAATTAGGGTTGAAGCCTTTAACAGGAAAATTTTTAGTTCGAAACCCCACCTACGTATCCATATCTTTCCTTTCTGGGTTCTGGTAACTTGTCAGTATAATTCGTGGTTTGTTCACCAATTCTGACGATTAGATTCCAATCGTTTCGTCCAGATTGGAAGTTGTCATCAATGCGCACCCTAGCCCCGACCTTTCATAACGTCACCAGCCTGGAAATAACTCAGCCATATGTTATGCTTCGGACTGCGTGCGTATCCGCGCAACAAAATTCTGTTACGAATATTTGTTTTATTGACTACAGTGAACTGTTCTGTTGTGTTTATCCATACCATCTTATTCCTTTGATAACGTGACTGGTAGATATCTACTGAAGAGAAAGTACAAATTAAACTTACCCATCGTCTGGTTGGGGACAGTTCCCAAAACATGGTGTGCTGATCCAGCTGCTCTAAGATCTTTGGGCAAGATAACTGGACTCATTGCCGAAAGATTCATCCAACTTTGAGCGCCCGGAAAAATATTACTCGGTGAGGAGAACTGTGGCCAGTTGGTTTTGGGAACCAGTCCTGTTAAGCAATTTGGTACAGCAGCAGTTCGCAACGGTCCGAGGGCTTCGCTACCGCCTCCTGCTTGCACCATGTTGACGACCGTGGCGATTAATTGTTTCAGATGCTCAGAGGTACACTGGCTGACTTCTACATTGGTGCTGGTGCATAGCGGTACGCCACGCTTGATAAACGGTTGGTTATTCTTTTGATCCGCAACCCAGCGCGCGACGACTTCCGAAACGAACTGGATTATGGCTTCTCCGGTTGGTTGACCCTGATTGACGGAGGAAGGTGAAAGCTGTGAAACCACTCTTTCATATGAGACTTGACACCAGCATGTCTATTATCCATATGCATAAGCATAATAGTCATTGCAGGTGAGCAACTAATCACATGAAGGCGTATATATCTCTGTCTGTAACCATTCACAAAGTTATGGTTTCGGGGCTTGCTACTTAGGACCACTCGAGCATCAAAAACACCTAAATGTTCACTAAGAATAGTTGTCTTGTTTGTGGATGATGTATGTCACCCGAATGTTTTCACCTGCGACCAAAGCAGCTCTGCGAACAACTCACTGTAAAACCAGGACTGGAACAAATGTTTCAGCTTAGTTTCGATATGCTGCCCAAAGGTTGCACTTGTTGGGTTGAACAATCAGCTAAATGCGGTGATCCTCCAAACCCGGACCCACCAAACAGTAGGCACACTTCTGTTGAGTCTATGTTATCCACTAGCAAGTCTGCTTACCCTTCTGAAATTCTTTCGGTACAACGCTTGGCTCACCTAACTTATTACGTCCTAAGTGAGTCTAAATTACCTAATACTCTTGGTTCATTGTTACGGCAAGATAATTTTTGAATTCTGTGAAATACAATCGTCAAGTATTTCTTACCGCTGAATTGTATACCTGATGCACACCATGAAGTGCCACATGTCGCCAACTGTCCTCGAGAAATGTCAGGATATCGATTATGTCCGCATCCACCGGCATGCCTCGGATTCGCACAAAGCACCGAGCCAGCTGCTCAATCGACATGCCAAGAGTAGACAGTTCGGACTGAGGCAAATTGTTGTAGTTTAATACAGAGGGCTGTTGTGGTATGTTGATAGTACCGGATACAACATTCGCCAGAGAAGGACAGCCAAAAGTAAAGTTCATGCCGCCGGTAATGCTCGATAATTTTGTGGTCAGTTGGTCCGCGCTCACCTGTGAGCCAGGAATCAGAGTTTGGTTCACCGTCATGTTCCCAAATGGAGTAAACAGCTCCATATTGTATAAAATCGGGTCTAAGGGTGGTATAGGAATAGGCTGATAAGGGATAGGCGACAAAAATAGCCCGTTCGGTTGGGAATAGGGACCATATGATCCGGAAAAGCCTTGCGAACCAAGCAGTTGGTATCCAAGATTCAGTGGTTGCTGTGCTGTGAAATTCAGCTGAGTCAATGAAGCAATCGTAGGGTCACCTGGTAAACAGCTTTCAGTCGAATTTGGAGAACCCACGACACCAGGCAATGCACCTGCCGCGAGAGCAGCTGCAGTCAACGCAGATTTCACGTCGACAGTGATTTTATTCCAACTTCTTGGCAAGGCCAATGGCGGATTCAGGACGGCATTCATGACCTTATAAAAGTATAAGGAATAGTGCTGTATGGGCCTTGATATCATGTACAAATTATACGTTTTCTAGTTTTTATGTATGTAATCCATTTCGGTGCAAAAAAAACAACAAGTATGAACGGAAGGACCGCACCGGTTACTCCGAAATGGCATCGAATGACTAAGTAAAGCACGTTTCCAAATCAACCACATCGCTCATAATCAAAGAAAAGACGTATGCTCGTTATCAAATAGAACTTCACACAGAATGGGATTTGAGTGAAAATAGAATTATGATGTAGAATTTCATAATTGTGATGCTGACATGTGATGTTTTAGCTGAACAAATTTGGCTTGAATGGATCTGTTTTCCAGCCGTTGTATTTGCTTTCACCGTTTTCTGGCTTTTGTTAGTGTGATCTTCTGTTCATGGGTGACCTCTTGTAAAAGATCACTGCTATGTGAAAGTAGAAAGCACGCTTACGTTTAGGCGCCACGAAATTCTTGGATGTTCTTTTTAGTTCGCACTACTTCTAGGTGAACAGATCAGTTTGGCAAAGCCGGATCGAAAAATGAATTCGTCAGTAGGATGGTTTTCTCAGGCGCTCGCGCGTAGCCACAGTGACGATGATAGCGGCCAAGTGGATCGGCATGTTCCTCAGCGGTCATTTGAAAGTGAGATGAAGACCACTGTGGTTGGCGTAACCGGGCCAACATATGGCTGGGCCTGTGAACCGGGAGTTGTTCACCAGTTGTTAAAAAGTGATATTTTAGGATAACTTATGGACTGAGAGTTCCGGTAAGGAGCTGGTAACCCAAACTCTTTTTCTGTCATCCACATTACCACAAGACCACAAGATTTTTACTGTTCTTAAACTGTTATTCTGTTGCGTGGTTACTTGACTGTTTCTTATCTAAACAGGTGATATTAAATGGGAGGAATAATCTCAAACCACCTTCGCTAGTTATCAAACTGCTGCTTGTTGCGTAGGAAAAGGTCGACGGAGATTTACATCGTTTGCGTCACATAAACTGCGCCATGGCTGACGAAATAACTTGGGCCACTGAGCCTCTCGCAACGGACCATCGACTTTCTCTCTCACTTCAACGTTACAGAGCATCCCATGAAGCTATCTATAATGTCATCGGCATCGGTATCATCTGTCCACCTTCTGTTAGTTCCGTCCCTACACTCATCATTCCTTTGAAGGATGAGTAATCCTCACCCCCACATCATGTGCATGGCACCCGTTCATCAGCTTCCTCAGTCTTTACCTATTTTGTGACTTTCCATCGGTTACGTATGGTTCCCACTTTTGTTTCCTCTTGTTTGTTTGCCTGAGTACCCATTTCGCTGACTTATTAAACCCAGACTGCTTACATTCATGGTCCGTTGTGTTTCTGTCCCAGTTCAGCAGACGTTTCAGAGTGCATTCACTACTGATTGGTGGCAGGAGAGGTAGTAAAACAGCAAGCACGCACTATCGCTGATGGGAGTTCAGTTGTCAGGCTGACTCACCAATAAATACATGGTGCACCCATTCTGTGCTGTACGATGGTACTACCACAGCTTCATTTCGGATTGCACAACATATGTTTTCTCACAGTCCCCTTGTGCATAAGCCCGGTTAATTTGAATAGATTTGAATAGTCGTTGAAAAAGGATGACAGTCTATCACGGTGTCTTTCAGCTGTGTGAAAACACTGCAGTAGTTCTGCGGGATGGCGAGGGCACGACAACGGGTGCTTGTCTAAATGTAGTCTTATCAGTACGTCATGATACTGTTTGAATCCTTGTGTTGTTGATTATCGCTTTTGGAACATATTATTCGAGCTAGTTGCAGTGATAAAGCCAATTTGAGGGTATTTCCCGCAAATATGCGGAATCGAATGACAAACTAAAACATGCATGAGAGTTGAACATTACAAAGAATAAGTCCCAAAGATTTTGCACGTCAGGTTAAGTGAACAAACAACTTTTTCGGCCGCATTCATTCTGGGACCCTCAAGAGCGAGTCCAAGTTGTCTTATTCCTAACAAACAAGAGGTGAACTTTTCACCTGCTCCAAAACACTCACCTGATTCACTTCCGCCGGTGTCGATTTAAAGAGTTCAATGTAACGATTTCCAATATGCTGCCAATGATTTCGCAATGCCTTCTCGCCGATCGCCTGACTCTCAAATATCACAAACGCATCCCCGGTCGCTCGGCCGTTCCGTCGATTGACGAAGAGGACACCTTCTTCTCCAAACTGTACCGCACAATCGGTGTTGCTAAAGAATTCCAACTGATTAGGGAAAATAACGCAGTTGAACTTTGATTCAAAAAGTGTCCGGCATTTCTTACGACAGAAACGTTCTGTCAACATATTTTCTGATAAAGTCAGAGACCTCTGTGAGAAAATGTTCCGCCAGCAACCCGAAACAACTGGTGAGACGACGCATCAGATAGTAGTAACTATTCTAGTGGGATGTGCATTACAAATCAGTGTATTCATTTTTATATCCATTGTTCAGTGTTTCTTCATCCGAGTAAAGCTTATTCGGCTCACCAAAGTCACAGATCCTCGCTTATAAGTACAAATTTTAATCTATATTCCTAAACTTATGCACCAAACACCTTTTTTCATATCCTTATTAAATTTTCTGCATAGAATGCAGTTAGCATTTAGGAGTGATGAAAAGCCTAAAGTATAAAAATGCTGGAGGATGGATCCGTGTATTGTGAATTGCAAGATGAGGAACTACAAATAACAAAACTTAACTGAAATGTCACTATGATTGTAGAGGAATCATCATAGTCGTCGACATTAGGTGCTGAACCAAGGAACTTGAAGGAAGAAAAACCGACATGATAAAAATGGCTGAGAACCATATCGTATAAAAAAGTGAGATGGACCCAACATCCTTTGCGAACCTCATCTAACAAAACCCCGGAGCAACAGAAGACAAACGTCAGCTAGACAGTTCAGCTAAAAAGTGACAAGTTTAACGGGACCGATTAAAAGCCATATTCTATAGGGTTTCTAACCAGATACAGACAGAAAGAAGATCAAAAGGGGAACCAGGAATGTGCGGAGATTCTGCAACACCCAGCTCGATTGTAGAGGCCTTCATTTTTCATAGCCATGTCATGATCTGTTATCGATGACTCCGTCGCCAGTGTTGGCTGCCCTGCACAGTCTTAATGATTTTGTTCCGTCAAAAATCAGGTTACTGCGACGATATTACTTGTAGAGCCTTGCTCAAGGGGCCTAAGTATGCTTCTTTAACTTGTGTATCGCAAAGCTTTCCTACTGCCAAACGGTGAATTGGATTCTTAGGTGTGCCGAACAACTTTGAGTAAATTTACACCGGACAGGAACCTGAGCTAAAACAACTGGTGGTCAGTGCAGTTGCAAAAGATACTATGAACGTTACGTTTTTGGCGTATGAACTACACTTTCTCTCAAGACTTGTCTTTGCCGAACTAAGGTGCATTACATGTCCGTTGCAGTCTCCGACCAGTACAACTATACCTGAACACCTCATGATGGAAAATGGAGTGGTTTGTTCTCGACAGAAAGTTTTGAGGCTATAATTGGTTGGTGTATGAGCTAACATTATCAAAAGGAATCATCATTTCCACCTTTTATATGAGTGAACTGTCAGGTAGCATAAATTCGGCTGTTTAAGGATATCCAAGAAATCCTACGCTTCCGAACTAAGAACCGTCGAAAGCAGTGCGATCCGCTGTGGCAGCTGCAGAATAATCTGGCGTTAATAGTCGGTAGCGTCTGGATGGTACAGGTGTGGTTAGTTCATTTACTGTAATTAGACCTTGTATTAGGTCTTTGAGAATGCAGCAAATGCCCATTGATAAAGTGTCTTAAGTGTCCGTAAGTCATCTAGAAGGATTGTGATAAAGATGGAAAAGTGAGGACTGAATACCATACTCGAAGCGGCATTTCTTACTTACTTTCTTTGGCGCCTAAGTGACATGCCTAGAGGTTTCATCTACAGAAGAGTTGTGAACTGGTAGAACAGAAGTTGAGGTAACAATGAACAAGGGTAGAAGACGTAAGCAATCTGGTGTCTTCGCTTACACCACACTATGCAATAAAGCCGATGAAACCAGAAGCGTCTTATGTGGCATTCGGGCACATTTTATCATATATTCCAAGTTTTCGTTGAGCTAGAATGCTGCAAGGCTGCCTCAGTATATACGGCACATCTATTAAGGTCTTCAACCAAAGCCTCTGATTCAAAAACCTGGCTGCAATTTGGAGGTGGTTGGCGTAAGATTAGCGGAATAGCCCAAGTTTTTGAGGTGGCAGCGTGACACGCATATCACAAATTCAAAACTGGATGTTCAACAGTCAGTTCACCGGACCTCTATCCACGACTGACCAGATAGAAAATACTCTGCGTATGTTCATTAGGTGCCCTCCACTATAATCCACTTGATTGCCAAGTGCCACGTTCCAACAAGTTAAAACAACTTCGTGACGGACATAGGGATCGCTCATGGAAACATTCAAAACAAAATATGAAGTTAATCCCCATTAACTGGAAGACATTGTACCTTTCAGCAGACCACGCAAACCCATGTTTAGCTGTAGCAACGGAACTGACGAATTTGTTACCACCCACCTGATTTCTCTTTGTAGCAAAATGAATGAAATCATTTTATCTTTTTGAAAAGCAAGTTTGTTATGGCTGCAGTAAAGTGTCATGGAATTAGGTTTCTATGTCACCGCTTGGCGAGGTGCAGTCTAAAAAAAGGGTCAAACCTCTCAGCCGAGAATCTCAAGCTTTTGTTTTTATACTGGAGCACATAGTGAGTTGAGCCGTCATCAGTGATGATATATTTATCCAAGCTAGTTTGGATGCGCTTTAAGCGACATATCGGCAGTTTCAGTCCATCAAATGATGTCTTCTAGTTTGTGGTATGGGTAAGGTGACTTCGTACTTTCCAACTCTCTATCCATTCTTTGATGACTGATCCTGATACCTCTCGGTTGTTGACTACATCAACATTTGGTCCACAGTGAAAGTCACACAATTTGCTTACTTATTGTACCAATGGACCAATCCGTTTAACCTGAGTTAAGTTCCTCAAGTATGCTTGGTAGCAAGCCATTTGATAGTAAGTGCTAATCTCTGTGGTCAGTTTTTGGCCATGTGGACCCTTACGGTAGTAGCGCGTAATACATGCGTGAAAAAAACTTGATTATTGGAGGAACTCATACGGTAAATTCGACAGAAAAAATTTCACACATTTGATTCATGATTCCTAACTTTTTTCGAGATTCAGTAGAAGACCAGAAAAGTAGTGTGGTAGTTGATCGTGTGGCGTTGAGGTGGCAAGTGGGAAACGTCACGTGACCGGCTCTGTTAGATCCATTCAGTGAATTCTACTCGGGACGGAGCACGTCACAAACCACCTCTCCAGGATGGAATGCATCTTGCCCGTACATACTTTACGACACCTAGGCAAGAATAGCCGGAACACACAAAAATACTGTTATGCGATGTAAAGAAGGAAATACGTCAAAATGGGATGACCACTTCCTTTCAATGTTAAGATGTGATGGACGTACAGTGAAAGCAATAAATCACTGAAATGCTAAGGAAAAAAAGATGAAAATGGAATATATATGTATTTGGGAAAGCTTGCTTCAACCCGGCCAACATGCGAACTTAAGAGATAGCGGAAGAAAACATGCACAGTCCGCTCCACCAAGAAACGATCCTCAGCCTATATTAAACACAATTTCACTTGTCCCCGACAATTTTTGCATTGCCCCACCGCTTGGTTGTAGAACATGTGTAAACCAGGCACCGATACTGTTGAAATAACCACCTGTTCCAGTTTCCGTCACTGGCGTACAAACCACTGCTTACCTGAAGCAACACGAGTTTGCTGAAAAGGTAACACGCATAAAATATATAGAACAAGTAGAAGAACGTGGTCTCCAAGCCAAACAGGTCCTCATACTGCCGAAATGTTGGAACTGGTAACCAAATACAGTTTGTAATGTACTACTCATAAGGTTGCTGAAAATCCATCGGCAGCCTACGACCGGTTTCACCCTTCTTGGGGCTCATCAGGTAGGCGCAGTCCCCGGGTTTCCGTCAACCTTATGTTCTACTTGAAACCAAATTGCACGAAATTAGCGAATATACAGTCATTTGCAAACTAATTTGGTTCTTTCGAGCCAAGCCTGTTCCCCGAAAACGATCGAACAGAAATTTCAAAAATAAACAATGACGAATAAGGATTGGCCTGCAAGTTCTCTCAACGTGAGTGCTACGTAAGTCGAGATAGCGCTGGAGTGTTTCTTCGGAAAACACGAGAGATTTACTCTGCAGCAGCACGGGGTTCCAGTATAACTGAAGAAGAAGTATCTGACCACTCTCCACTAACTGAAGAAAGAGGGTCGAAATCAGGACTTCTCAAAGAGCAACGTAGGTCTCAGGCAGGAGTGCTCATATAAAGTGTGGTTCATCAATCGTTTGTCCTTGCCTTCTGCTACCCGTTGACACACAGTGCGACCTGCTAATGCGAACCCCTTGCAGAGGCCACTGCATCCGGGTCAGAAAGATCCCGTACGTTATCAGGCCAACCGATTTAGGATCAGTTAAAATTACAGAATACTAAACCCATATCCTTTCGAGTGACATCCAGTGACGAATGAGACAAATCAATCCGAAGTTTCGATTCTTCAAACCATATCCTCCTCTTACAGCCTTCGATACTGTCTATTTTTTTGTCCCCAAAGTTGGGGCTTTTTGATTGCAGTAAGGACGCTATCTGGCTGAGTGATGGTACATAAAATACCATTTAATCGCTAGAAAATGAACGAACTTGCGCAGACAGTATTACCCGAATAATCGTCGTCCTCTTGATTCACATCAAAGAGTGCGTGTACAAGGTACAAGCAGTTGACCAGTGCAACAAAAGATTTACGGATCAAGGCGTCATTTAGTGAATTCGAACGATTTCTAAGGGAATTAAGAAAAGTGTAGCAGACTGTTTGCTGCTGCATATTTAAAACAATTGCATGACCAACTAAACTGCTACTTACAACCTGTTGCACAGTAGTGGCATACGGCAATCCCCGCATCCGAATGAGTGCTTGATGAGGGCTTGTAAACTTTTTCAGGAACTCTTCCGCCTCAGTTGTCTCCGCTAGAAAGATTAAGGTAGAGAAATGAAACAAGTGGAGCAACTTAAACTTGTTCGGCCAGACGTCAAGAGGAGTTCGATAAATTTTATTGTCGTTATCTTCGAATGCCAAGCTTTTTTCTACCAATGTGAAAACACATCTGGGGTTTGTCTTTCATGCTTACTGTGATGTGGTTGGACCGAAGGACGTTCAGCTAGATTCAACAATTCCAATAGTGAATTAAAACATGCAATCTATTCTCTATGGTTCAAAACGTAGGGAATAAGTCATTCATCAGCACTGAAATTATTATCGCTGCCAATTAGCAATTCACTTTGTGCACTGGTTGTTGATCCACAGAGTTCCACCGAAAATCAGAAAGCGCACCGAGTGTTTAATTTTGAACTGGGTACTTAGAGCAGCGAACAGAAAGTGAGCTTGAGCTTCAGTTTAATGGTTCTGATTAAGAAAAAGCTGGTGGTAAATACTTAGAGGTGGGGAAATATCGAATACTTGACTAGGAGACACAATCGGGAGCAGAGCGAATCTCACAGCGGACTTTCTGGGGAACTCACTAGGTCTGCTTGGCAACAATATCCGCAGTAGTTACAACAGTTTAATTCTTTAGACCTTTTGTAATATATTTAATTTACTGTGCCCAAAGTCCTTGGCAGTGTCCTCCAACTTTCACATCGCACAAGCGTAAGCAAGCCAGCTTGTTCAGGCGCGTTCATCTGCGTCCTGCGTACGCTGGTAAGGAGAGTGCTGATACGCGTCGCATATCTGACCTCCGAGTTACAAAGCCGTGCACGGAAAAGAATATATATTGTCGATGCGGAATCACCTGAACATTTGCGAAAGGATAAGAAGAAGAGTGTCCGAGTGAGACTTGTGCGAACGCAAGTTTCCAACTTTTTCCAATAGTCATCACCTCGTGGCTCAAGGGTTGTTTCCCGACTGCCTACTTTCAATCTGTATGTTGTCTGTTCTGTAAAGTCACAAGTTATCTGAGTTCCACCAAGGCTGTTTGGTGTTTCGGGTGAAACCCACAGGTTCCATTTATACGGATATTTAATAACTTTATACTCCCACATCAGAACTAGTTAGTGTAATGTGGGCGGGAGTAGGTTAAGTGGATGTTCATCAGTGACGGCAGTGAATACCCAGGATTTGCACGTGCACGTACTACATTTTTTGGTTCTATCCACTTCAACCGACAATCAGGTGGATAATAGTGGAACTGGATACCCGGTCACTCTGATAGGTATTCATTCGACAAACCTACCTCCAGCAAACGCGACGAACTCTTTGCCTTGGGCCGCGTAGACTTCAACATACCGTTGACCCATATGGTGCTTGTGTTTTCGCAAGGCCAAGTCGCGCTGCTCTTGATCCGTAAAGCGAATTAATGCCTCTCCGTTTCGTCGACCAATTTTGCTTAGTACCAAAGAAATTCCTCCATCTGATATATTCAAGCCGCTGAAGAAATGGAATATATCCAAATCGGTTGCTTGCCAAGGTAGTCCGCGGGCCCGAATCACGTGACCGTCATCAACTACCTCGGATTTTCGTCTGTGATGTTGAGGAAGAGACAACAGAGACTAACGAGATAGCTAAGCAATTTGATGAATAAAGAGTTTCTCAGTTTTCTAATCAAGATGAATCTTTTCTGGAGTTCTTTTTGTCCTACCCCAAGTATCACGCCAGAATTATACTCCACAACCGTGCACAGATGGAGTTCAACCTTCGTGGTTTGCTAAGCTCTCCGTGAGTACATCAAGGCAGTTTTCTGGAGAAAGTCTAGACTGTCCACGAACGTGGAGCTTATTTCCAAGGCGCTGTTTTAATGCTTTTAATGCTTTCTTCTGATGTGGGTTGATGAGAAGTCCTGTAAATTCTATCTGATTAAGATAGATGGGAATTTGTGCAAGCACTATGAGGCACGAACCAAGCATGATAAAAGGAAGTATTTTGGCAACTAAGCTAATGGGGCATAATTTCAGTTGGGCAAGCAGTGGGTTCTTCAGCCAATCCAACTACTGGCAAATGGTCACACCATTTGTTTTCATGGTGGACCGAAAGAAGTCCACGGGTTCGCAAGCTAGGCTGCTTTTAAGTAGGAATAATGGGATCGATTTCTCCAAACTTCAACCCTTATTAAGGATCAGCAGATGAGTACAGTGATAATTTACGTGACACTCTTTGTTGTCTACTCCAAACAGTAATCTCGGAGTAGTCTCACAGGTGATGTACTGAGGCACTCGAAGGACGGATAAATAATCTAGCACTTGCCTAATGTCTAGCCAATGCATTAGGGGACTGCATCATGTAATGGCGCTCACGAAAGTTCTTTCGTTAAGGTCTCAGTTAAGGTAACATACGAGAGGAACTAAGGAATAGGGAGAAAGTCAACTAAGTGGTCTACAACCACTACATAAGTGGAGATCAAAATTGTTTACACAAAAAATGCTACCTCTCTTGCCTGCAAAACTCAATTTTGGTTCACATCTGTCTTACTATAATTCTGCTCTTGCGCTGTGTTAGTTTACAAAGTTGGATACGAGTGTATTTGGACTTCATCAAGCGCGTGAAAACAACCTATGCTGCACAGCTGAGAAACACCGTAAAATTGTTTCATTCCGGTTAGAACATACCAGCAAGACGCACTTCAATAAACTCTGATGCGCAACCTTCGAAAAACCTTCATTGGTGAGCAGTAAAATGGCTGGTGTGAACCTGGTGTGTACCACAACAGCCATAAACATGGAAATACGTTTGAAGGGCTTGCGTGACGCGCTACCGACTTCACAGCTTGGCCTTGCGTCCTGGACTACCAGCTGAGAAAAAGGCAAAGCAGGCTTCGTGGGAATAAACGCAACGTATGTATCCGTAAGTTTACGCCCTGGCAGCACTAATAAAGGTATATACAAAAGTTCAAACAAGTTCTGCGAAAGTAAACCTGGTGCCTTGGAACGTTGAACGAATCTTCGATTTTTCCTACCTGATCTAGAAAAGCGACTTCAAATTCGTGAACAAAACAGACACTCACAGAGAGTGTAGGAAATCGACCAGAACTCTGTGTTCAAGAGTAATTTGTGCGACCTTTGAACTCGTGCCGACCTACTAGTTATTCTGTTCCGGCGGCTTAGTTTGACTACAAGGCTATCGATTTTACCCCGTAACCCACCGAACTCTACTGCCCTCCGATCCCACTTATTTATCTACACTCGTGAACCTATCTAATCATGCGCTTGATTCGTGTCGACCTTCATATAGATTTGTGACGAACTGATCAAGGTGAACAATGAGAGGTAGCAGGCTTTCTCCTCTACCTCCAATCTTGTCATGACATCCATTTTCACTTCCAGTCCCCTACTTCTTTAGTGGCTTGAGCGATAGGCTATACCGATGTACACTGAACAGCCGAAACTTACAAAAAACAACACCATATCTGATGAGTTAACCAGCCCCACACTAGTCTATATGGCTTTTCGTGCCAACAATCATATGTATAGGATTGGTTAGGCACTAACGCAGGTCATTTCTCTGTACCACTTGACTAGCCGGCAGCATGAGCTCCAGCGCCTGAATGAATGACTTCTGAATACAATTTCAGGTTGTAAAATCCCTATGTCAATGGTTTCTTCACGGGCAAGTTTCCCTCTACTTTGTAGACAGGTGCCATAGCTGTTGCAATAGTCACGTGGTGCCCCATGTCCATTAAACGGCCCTTTTCTGGTTTGATGGCACATCAAAGCCGTATGCATAAGGTGGAGGCATGCAGTTGCGTGTGAATTGTCGCTGGATTCCTCCCATTCTGCAGTATCTTGTAAAATACATCACAAGGATCCTCTCACGAATCAGTGAAAGGAACCAGAAGTACGCTGAATGTCCGTTAAAAACGTTTACACCTTGACTATATTTAACAATACCAACTATTATTTGAAGCTGATGGACCGCATCTGAGTTAGTTCGAGGGGATCGGAACTTCATCGAAACATAATCAATACTGCTCAGATCTTCCATAACCAATGTGTTTATTGCTAAAGGATGCTGTAGTCCATATGACAGCAAACCTGTAACTGACATAAATTGGCTTGCTGGATTCACACTGATGGGATCATTTGTGGTTCGGACCGAAGTTTTCCGTCCTTATGGTGCCACGAACATGTTTGATTTTCGCCGTTTAGTCTTGGCAGCGCGTGCGCCTACCAGAAATTATCGATCATTCTGTTAATGGACGTCTCTACATTCATGTCTGAGCTTACAAAATCCATAAGGCGAACCGATATTCGGTGTATCTTTTATGATCTGGCAGCTTAATCGGTTCATCGTCGTACCGCAGGGTCAGGAGCACTGAGATCCTGTCTGTTGATACCCTCATACCCAAGGTTGATGTTCTCCACGCAAAGGCGCATACGTGTGTACAGCTATGGTAAAGGGCACCGTGGATGGAATTGGCGAAAAATCGTACTCGCGTTTCGAATTTTTAGAGGTGTGCAAAATACGGTGTTTGAAATTCGACTAGAGCTAAAGTGGCGAGCGCACGGTCATCGAACGGCTTCACAAGCTGCTCTCCACTCTGACTAAACTATTATTATTATTATTATTATTATTATTATTATTATTACTATTCAGTTAAACTATTTACGTTTTGTAGGTACTTAAGGCTTGTAAGTAGTAGGAATAATGTGCAAGAAGTGGCCGGTAATCTTGAGTTGAGTGCTGCCGATGTTTCCCAATGAGGACAGATTTCGATCGCAGGTTGATTTGGAATCATGTGAAAAATTGTGAAGCTCCAAGATACCCATACTAATAATCTGTTGTTTTACAAGTGTATGATGAGGAAGCAGCATCCACTAGCTTAACTTTGAAGGGGCAAGTTTGCTTGATGATCTGGTAGACAGTGTTTCGGACCAAGGGGACCAAGATTTAGATCCAGTATTTTAATAAGGGCGTAAACGGTTCTGTCATCCACAGTTCATAGCTATGTATTCCTAGGTTGTGTTCGAAGCACGGGATGAGCCTTCCATGTTGGTGTACTAGGGGGGAACATTACTGAATTCAAAACTCAGCATTGGTTTCAGTATTTTTTCGAAAGTCATTACAAAACAGTCATCACCGTCGACAGGTGGAAGCGCTTCGGGGACTTTTTTCCAAAATACAGTGCGTTGAAGAAAAACTCAACTCTCCATGTGGATCCTGTTACTCTTGTTCCGGATATTGCTGACTCCTTGATTAGAGATTTCAATCACCGTAATGTTACATTGGGTTTTATTGGCAAGGAGATGAAAGTAACGACTTCAGTATTTTTTGTAGCATTAGGTTGTGGAATTAAATCGGACGTGCAGAAACCTGGTCGTGTAGATAACCAAGTCAGTATACCAGAAACGTGCCAAACTACGTGAAACAATAGCTAAAGGAGGGATATCTACAACGCAAATTTTGAAGCTTGTTGATAATAATCCAGTGAGGGCCGAAACCTACACACCTTATAAGTTCATCTGCAACTTAAACGTCACCAGAACATATCTCACATAACAAAACAACTATTATCCAGGCAGAGGACGAAGACGATGGGACTGAGTAATATGGCTCCATTAAGGTCTTTCAGTATCTTGTTGGACATTCAACACAGCCATCTTTTGATAAATAGTCGATTTATACTGATCAGGGTCTGTCCACTTAACGCATTGCGCATAAATTCCAAACTAGAAGCGTCTATTTAGTTGGATCCAGCCTCATAGTTCTAACGATTTTCGAACCGTTTACTATGTCGTTTGGCCCGTGCCTGTTTCTGGTCGCAAACCGAAAAGTGAGGGGAACAGCATCTCATTCTAGATGGGATCTGTCTTGGAGCTTCAAGAATGTATTGCTCACGATATCTGCCCTTTTTGTGTACTAAGCCATCATAAATTGATTTTCGACTGATGGGGTGCTGGTACTCGATTGGAGTCAGTTCCCAGTACGTCACGTTGCTTCTTGTCCTGAGAGTATCATTTGGGAGAGCATCATTTTGTGAGCAAAGCCATGGTGGATTTGTCGGTGATGGTGTCGTTTGAGACTCCAAGACGGATCAGAGTTTCGTGAGATGACTTTCATTATGATTCACACAGTAAGGGGCGCCAGCACGAGACGCTATAACTCTTGGTTGTCAGTCTTTTTGCCGAGCTTGGCACTTGGATTCCAGTCAATTTATCACCATTCGCGGTGACGTCAACCCACACTGACGATGTCACCTTGACTGGTTTATGATTCAATTTTCAGCCTCGGTGAAGAGACCAACAACCAAGCAGCGTACCCCAACTATCTACATTCAACAACATCGCTGTTTTGTCTAAACGGTCAAAGGTCAACAAGTCGGTTGTCATCGCAACGCTTCTTCGTATCTCACTTCTGATAATTGGTCCTCGAATAAAACAGACCGAATTTACATTAACTGTAGTTTCCGACGGCAAAATGGGTATGTCCGCTGATAAAGGTCTTCATGCAGAATGAATGAATCCTTCGTTAACGAGGATCATAACAGACAGATGGGATGGCGCAATACGTCAAAACATGTGCTGTTTGGGAGAAAACGGTGTAACACACTGTCAGCCTCATACTGAAGAAGCACCACAACAACCTAAGGCTCCTAGCTGCGCATCAAATATCAGTACTTAAAATTAGGTTGACAAGAACTCACACAATTGAGGGTTGGTAATGATCGTGAATATGTTCCACCTCAGTCCATGTGAAACCTATGGACAGAAAGCGATACATGCTGTTGGTAAGACACAGAAATGCACGTTGACGGAACTGTCTTAAAGCGTACGCTGTGGAGACTGCATATTAACTTACCAGTACACGGAAGTTACTTTCAGAGTAATCGTTAACAGAAGCGATACAATGCCAAGGTTCACTGGAGTCGATGTTTACTGCTGTAACTAGGGCTGTGGTAACCTCGGTCCGTAACACTCAAACGTGGAAATGGATGGGACCGATGAAAAACACTATCTCAGATCATTTGACGCTACGCAACGCTTTAGGAGTGTTTCACTGGTGCCCCAGTCCAAAATCTCAACATAAGCCAGGGCCTTTCAAGCAATTGCCTAACAAACATAACTCTAAAACTAACAGAATCATTCGTACCCGTTTGTGTAAATGTTTCGTTTGCCGCCTCAGAATCTGCTTGTGCAATGCACACCCGACCAATCTGCAGACCCATAAAATAAATCGCGCCATTCACCATCTGTCCACTACTCTGAACACACATTGCGGTTGGGTTTACTGCAATAGCAGGTTACGCAACAAGCAGGCTCCGTCGAGATGCTAGCCGTTCGACTTGGGAAGCCTGTCACTCCTCCAGACAATTCATACCGATAGCATGAACAGGGCTCCTTTCAAACTGGTCTGATTCACTTGGATAAGGGAGGGCGCTAATTATTCGCACAATGGAATTGAATTTTTAAAAGCTACGACGTGTCCCTGGTGGACTAAACGAGACAGTAAAGTGAGTTCTGAACACCAGTCCAAACTTTTGGGCTCCATGTAGGCATCTCGGAATCCCATTGATGCCAGGAAAGTGTTGCACCAGAATTTTTCGCCAGATATATTAATGCGTCAGTAGACAATGAAATTGATATGAACCTAGATTAGAATGTATTTTGGTTTGAGCATATACGCAACAAGATGCAACATTTTGGCTTAAGGAGTTTTATCCCACTCTCAAAAGTGTTGCAGCAACCGGCATTGTGCCGCCAAGGAGCCCAATGAGGGAGCAACTTAAGGTCCAAAACGATTGGAAAATCTTTATATAGTATCGTGGTTGCCTTCAAGGCTCATTTGTGAATGTCTGTCCGCCACCGTTCACTGAAACAATAGATCCAGTGGCATTCGCATAACGTGGTCCAATAAAGGCCAAATGTGCACTGGATTATTATTTCCAAGATTGAAACCTATCATTAAAAATACCATCAGTTTTTGTTCTGAAATATTTGGTGCTTAAAGGATCTTTCTTTCGGGACGGTAAACTTACTATTGAACTCTACTCCACTGATCAATATTCCTGACAAATATACCATAGAACTTAAACCAAGCCTACAGAACTGTTTTATCCATGTAGTGCTTTTTGGAGATGGAAAATACAGCAGCCCAATCTAGTTCACTTTTCAAAAATCTATCATTTACTATGGGAAAACAAATTTTACAGAGACAGGGTTATCCCTCTCATCATTCACGCTCTAAGTGGTGGGCGTTTCAACTCTGTCGACGGTTATCAGTCAGCTCAGAAGTTCACACTCACCAGCCAGATGTGGCTTCCATTACCTGTTCCTACCGGCTCATTCGTCGTCGTTTCACTTACCGACTGCCTGTACGATTTCTGAACTTTGCTGTACAGTTGCTGTCAAAAGACACTGTGACCCTACTGCTCAGCTACTGTCTTAAGAGCAACAGATTTAGATATTGCTACACACACTTCAAATTAACGCACACTGTTTGACCATGGCATTCTTTCAATGAGTAGATTCCACAAGATCCGAAAGGAGAATAAGGAGGGAGATACAGTCAGGTGATCCAAGCTCAGAGATGGTAACTGAGAAGTTTGAACTAATATCAACAGGGGTTTGAACCACAAGAGTTTCTGGTTACAGTTTGTTTTCCAACCTATAGGCTATCTCAATTGTGTTGTCCACACAGGCAATTGGCCGAGTGTTCTTCCTCAAGTTAACGGCTTTCGCACAGTGAGTTTTTCGTTAGCTTTTGGATCGCTGATCTCTAACGGAAGTTGGATAACTGAACGAAAGACCGAATTCAGGTGTAGATAACTGAAATGTGAAAAACAGGTTTCTTGAACTTTGAACAAAAGCGTTTTGTGCAAATGACGCCCGATTTTCATTAGAGCCCAACTACTATAAGAATTTGCAATAACCCAAACCACCAAATGTCACTTCAATGGCGGGTGCGGGTAAGTGTCAATCAAATCATATTGGAAAAGTAAGTTAAAATCCCACGAGTGAGGATATTGTCATGTTTTCAGGTTATGTGGAAGTGTAATCACATGCAACTCCTACATCAGACAAAGTCAAAAGGACATTTATAAGCTTTGACTTGAAGAGTGGCTATAAATTCACGTACCATGAGCATGCATGTGTAAAGCCAGTTTGCCCAAAATCCTACAGTGTTCCATTTGTGGTTGCCCAAGTTGTACGGCGCTGAACGACGAGGATTCGTTACCTGGGCGGGCGTCAATGAATTGGTTGTAGTCCGCAGGGACATCGACGACATTCGAGTCACTAGCCGTTTCCGCTGGATGATTATCGTGCGGTACATCTGCCTCCCCACTGGAACACTCCATCCCCTCCTCGACCCACGCAGTATTTTGACCGTTTGAGGGGACGAAAGAGATTCTATCCAATGTGTCTTGAATGGGTGGAGTTGAACTGGACTGTAGTGTACCCAAACTAATACCCACATCTAAAAAACAAGTACAACAGCTAAAGTGTACTTAATACCGAATGACTAACCGCAGGCTTGACAACACCACAGATAAAATATCAGAATTATAATAGTAGAAGCGCTCATGGTGAACAACGAGAAACCCACTTATTAGCTGCCGTCCTAGAAGCTCAGACATTTTTGGGGTATGCAAATTATCTAGCCATCACATTGGATACTCAAGAGGAAAGCTACCATTGTCAATTTAATTACGGGACATAGACAGAAAGATCAAAGCCCTCAAGCGATAAATTAGCGGTCTCTGTAGTCCACCAAGGTCTTTTCAGTTTTGAATATGACTGGGACTGTGTCTCACCTGAAGGCGAAAAGAGGTGGTTTAGGTTGGAATCGTTTTTAGTGCACTGTGGTCAATGGCAAACTGCTAGTTGCTTTGCAGGTCTCCATAATTTGCAAGCATGATATTCCTCTGCTGAACATCACTTGTTCGATTACTTCACTCCCTCAGAAGTCTTCATAAAACGCCCTTACTGGTGCCTGGATATACTCATGGACTATCTTGTACAAATGATAATATGGACTCAAGATATAAAACTGTAAGCAGCTAGATAGGTTAACTCGGTAGACTAAAGTCATCTCTCTATACGGTTTTATATCTTTCATTTTCTGATAAGCTTGTGCAAAGGAAAGCCGATCTGAGAAATATTGAATAGGGTATTCAGATACGTATCATGTGGATGCTAAGATATGCTGTGAGGACCAGTATCGTCTGCCAGCCGGGCTCTCATAGACGCTCCTCTGCAAAATTGCATACGGGAAAATAAAGTGTGATTACCTACATACGTATTTTGAGAATCTAAATCCAAGAAAAGGTCAGCGATACCAGTGGATCCCTCGTAAACCTTACAATAGACTAGCTACCCACTCAGTGTATACCTGATTTCACTAAGTAGTGGTTCTGGTGAACCTTGAAAAAGAGGTCTAATCAGACATACTACGAACAAAAACGAAAAACCACGGGGAGGAAATTGATGAGACGCTGGTGTACTATCTCAGTATATAGGGTATTTAAGTGAAAGTTAACATCGTTTATCGAATACCCGCCAGGGCACCCTCCTGCAACTCACAGTTACCGATGAGAGCACCAATCTCGACTGTTAGATGCGTAGTGCAGGTAATCGTCAAGAAGTACCAACCTCCTGAAAGTTTCTTATCACCAAACATGCCTATAGGGCCCGAACTTTGCATGACTATCCCCAAAACCCGCTGGCTATCTTAAAGTTCAAAAACAACAGATTGCTGTTTCTGGACAACCTGATCAGTGAAAGCTGCTCAACTGACCGGTCAAGTTCAAACTCACATGTAATCATTTCGTCCAAACATCCGGGAAATGCATCCATGTGACAGTAGTTTTTGACCGATTTCCGCATGTCGATATAATGGTATAAGTAGGGAAAATCCTTGAGACAAATTGATCTTTTTGTGATTTCCGGATGCAGCACCAGACGTAATCCCAGTGGTCCATCTGTGAGAATAAGAAAGCTTCGCGTCTTTGTCGTCGCGGTCGCATCTTCCTTATATGCCGCTTGCATCTTTGCATGTTTTATATTACTTTCAACGACTTCGTTGGCCTGTTCAGACGGCTTGCTTTGTGTAGGTTGAATGTGCCCACCTTCTCGCCGCTTGTAAGTGGCTTCCGAGAAAATCAATCCATGATCTTGGAGCCAAGAATGTAGCTAACGAGATTTCGTGTGGAATTGAGAGACAGGTGATATGTGATTATTGTAATGAGTAAGAAAACCCGCAGATGAGTTATTGCGCAAAAGAGTCTGGCAACAGGTGCGCTAATGCAGCTATTTTGGAAAGCTGTCAAGTCATAAAGAGTGCATATGCCTCATTTCGCTACGCTTGTCCTTGAAGGAACTAAATAAGCATATTGCAGTTGTAAGTTTAGGCCGCTCTCTCCTGGTCTTCAACTGTATTATTATACCCAGTCTTCGATTTTATACAAATTTGTTTTTTCAATTAATTTTTTAGTTTATTAGATGCAATCTTTAATTTCTAAAGTTACTCAACCCACCATACGGTGGTTAACACGTGAAGCTGCAGTAATATTTATGAGAGCTTACGATGTTTCTCAGTCCAGATCAGTAAACCCTATAGTAAACGCACTAAATAACATGAAAAATTCGACTTATTACTTATTCATAGGTCTATTTTTTGTATCCACGTAACCGCAAAGTTAAAGTTGTGTTCACTATCAGTGCAACTTAGACTGAATGACATCTATAACTTTTAGGATCGTACTCACTTCCCATAGTCCGTCACTCAGGCTCTTACCATCGACCAAAAATTCATCCGTCAGTCCCGTCGCCGTGATGCACTCATGACTCAGATGCAAACACGATAGAACTGCTGCGCCGTCCGTCAAGGTTAGCGACCCTTCTTTCGAGACTGTGTTCCATTCAATATCCAAATTGTTATACTCCTCCTGATCAGCTTTCAGAGGTTCATTGGAGTCCATGCCAGATAGAGCATTCCAGTTTACCTCGTAATGAACTGGTCGGATATAGGTCTGAAACTCCAAATCCTCTAGCTAGAATGGAGGGTAAAGTACAAATGAACCTTCAGAAATAAATATTTCGAAGTTTAATGTTAAAACCATATTTTAGTTTGCGGATTTTCCATACAGCGAAGAATTTCAAGTACAGAAACCGGATAAGTCAGTCGTAGAGATTTCGAATAGCCGAATTTCGCAAAGCACAGATGACTCTTTTCAGAAGATTACTCTTCTCAACTTGGTGTCGATCACGTAGTGGCTGAAGTTTATTGGCACCTTCTCCTGATTATGCATTTGTAAATTCATGTAACCGCCAACGGTGATGAGCTCCGCAGGAGCCATTTTACTGAGTATTATCATTGTTTTTGGTTTGTTCACTGAGCTGCGCACAACTGTTAAACCATTGCTACGCTCCACTCCGCTTCCTAACAACGCACTGATGATCTCACCTCGTTTGGTGATGAAGCTTTTGCCCGGCTCAGTGAACCAACCAAGGAGCACCTACGCTACCTGAGTTACTAACATTCTCCTCAACAACTACGTATTAAGGCTTATCTCACTACCGTCTGATATACTGGTAGCCTGTATGAGCAAAACTCCTCTCATTAATGCAGCATGAGGCCAATTTGTTGCAGGGATACATTCAGTGGCATCTGTTCCCTTCTTCTTGCTGAACTTCCCGGTCTCAGGGTTGGAATGGACCTGGTGGCGTTTATTCGATCGGTCATGCAAAGAATCTCAAGATGCTGAGATGTTTACAGAGCCATGGGTGATAAACTTTAATAATCAGGTAGTGAACTTATGATGACTTCGACTGTAGGGTCCGGCCCATTTCTTTATGGCTTGAAAGTGGAATTTTATGGACAGGTTTCTAGATTCCACATTCGTGACTCATTTGCGAATAAATGAGCGCAAAATGGAATTTTGAACAATCTTCTTTTTATGACTTTCTTCAGAACGAGAGGTCCAACTGGAGCTCGTCCGAAACTCCTCTTCGTATCAATATGAAATGCAGGTGTGGTGAATGTGAAAACTGGACGCAATTTAAATAGCAGTGAAGCATCGGTGTTGAACGCTGATGTCAAGCTGTCGATGATGATGATGATGGCGATGATGGTGATGATGATGATGATGATGATGATGATGATGATGATGATGATGATGATGATGATGATGATGATGATGATGAAACATTTGGCCGTTGGTTTGTTCGCTAAGTTGGACTATTTTGTTCCATGGAACAAGCCGATTGAATTGATAGAGTTTTCTTTCTCAGCAAATAGACCAATAGCTGTAATCCAAGTACTCTGCCTTGAGAAATTTAAGATCAACCAATTTGCATCAAACTCACCGTGCCACTTACCACAATTATTTGCTCGTGTTTCGCCTAACAAATACGTTCAAATGACAAGCAATCGTACGAGAGACCAATAGAGAGACTTCGGGAAGGTATGAAGGTCACCTGACGGGTATTCGTTTACAACGGTAAAACAAGGTGTTTAGTGAAATATTACGTGGTAGACTAGGGACTTTCAGAAGTTTGACAGAATGGAAATTTGCCACGGTTCTACTCCTTCTCCCATGAAACTTGCAGATGCCTTGCCTGCAATCCAAAATTGCGCCCGTAAATCATAGTACGCCATTTGATAAAGTTTGAACGCTTGCTACTGTCATCAAATTTTTATCGGGGGAAAGTCAGTAGAAGTGCCAGCGTATTTCCACCAAAATGTATTCACAATAAAGGGCTTTCAGGAGTTCACTGTAGGAGTTACTCGATAAAATCCACGCCTATGACGACCTGAACCTTAGAAGTCGCCTAACATCGATATTCTAGTGTCAGCTTCCAGTTATAGGTTTATTTCCCAAAGCAGAAGGACGTTGGACAGTAGTTGAAACACACGCCCCTGGAAAAATATCTCAATTTTTAAAACGCTAGCTTTTTATTTCGCTGCTGTCTACTTGGGCCGTTACCACAATCCGAAGATATCTAAAGAACAGGAAGGTCGAGAGGGCATTATAGGAGCATTATCACTCAGGAGGACGGCGAGTCCTAAGTCGTTCTGCGACCTTGACCATGTATTTTATACCCGGTTTATCGTATATGTGGGTAAATGGTCTCGCACTTTTGTTACCTCAGCATCCTTATGATATTTCTACTGGAAGAGCCATCTGATAACATCGGATAACGCTTGATGAACTTGTCATGATAAAGGTCAAGAGAAATGCTTGCTCGGCAAACTTTTACAGAAACTTTTACACAAACTTTCACAGCAGTCATCCGATGAACGGAAAACACATCAAAAGTTTGGAAAATTTCGCTTTTTGTGCTCAGTCAGGAGCTGGTAACTGAACGGACAAATTGATGTGAAATATATTCGGTTTTCTGTTCGTTGGTTTTTTTGCTGACCTGGTCAGTTTCATGGCAAGCGTTTCATCACCAGTCAAGGTGACATCATCAGTGCGTTGTCAGTGGAATTTGGTTGAGGTTGGAAATGCTTTGAAAACCGAATTGTTTTGCAAATGAGTGTATTTCACCCTACCGATTCTTTTGAGAAAGACTCCAACAGTCCAGTTTCAGTGCCCAGGACAGTAGATTCTCATAAGCATACGGTTCCCAGACATGAATGTTGGTTTTCCTCGCGTTGGTGATTGAGAACACGTAATTGTTGGCAGGATAGAGTCGTGGGTATGTCTAAACCGTCCGTTCGTCATAACCTCTGCTAGAGAGCGACCGTCCGGAGACTTTGGGTTAGGAATTGCTCCTTAATTCCAAGACTTCTGCCATGTGCCCTTCCCTTTCTGCCATTGCCAACGCTCGCTTAAAGGTATCCACGAACCATTCAGCTTGCCCGTTAGATTGAGAATGGAATGGTGAGGAACTAACATGTATGACACCGTGTCTCCGAAATAATCTACCAAAATGATGGAATGTGAACCGAGTACCAATGTTGGGCACAATAGTTTCCGGGATACCGAATATTCAGAACAGCTGCCACAGTTTAGTGATGGTTGCTATCGTTTTTGTCTCACACATAAGAAGGACTTTGGGCTACCTACTGAATGCATCAACAGCGGTGAGGAAGTTCTGTTCGCCAGTTGTACTTTCGAATTCCAACTGGATGCGCTACCCTGGTTTTTCTGGCTGTGATCAACTGGATTGGTGGTACTCCACTGCTTTCTATCATTTTTGGTGGCATCGCGGACGGTGTCGGAGGTCAAGGGTAGTTGGTTCACGGCCCCTAACACCACAGCATGGACTTCTGGTTCGACTGCAACGGTTACGTTAGTCCATGGTTCTGACTGCTTTCATCTGCTTCGTGACCTCCGGGTTTGGCTGCCTCTCTGGCTGGCTTTTCGCGTCTGGTACCGGCTTTCCTTGCGCCCACGTCAATTGCAGAGCGAACGCTTGCGCTTTTTATAGGGACACAATTGCACGAAATGCTGTTTGCCGCATCGCCAGCATACCGACGAGGGCTTTACTCCTTTCGAATCTGCCGTCATGAGAGGCTGCCTCGAAGTCGTGTTGGCAATATTCAAAGCAGGGTTGGATAATGACCTTTCAACATGGCCGTGTCATGTTTGAGTTTCAAGGGACTCTGGCACTCGTGAGTAGTCGACTGCAGCGTTATCTCGGGAGTTTGTTCAATCTCGTTCAGTAGCCCCGCTCTCATATCACTGTCTGAATGCGACTGAAGAACACATTTGAAAATAAGACATTGAAATGGTCTTTCGCCATAAGAGATAGTGTGAATTGTTCACATCCAAGATACTCTACTGACATAAGTGGTATAGTATTCAGGTTGCTTTTTCGCTCGTCTCATACGATGGTAGCGGACACTAAACAAAAGCGAACGCTAGCCGAAAATTGCTGTGAATTGCTGCACGGTTTTCTCAAAACAGATCTCTTGTGTTCTTTGGCAGAATGAGGCTGGAATGCCCTGTGTGGTCCGTTGGCCAAGCTTTCTCAGGAATAAACGTAATCTACACACATCCTCTTTGTGCTTCAGTTCGACTTTGAAGACATCTTCGTAACGTCTGAACCGCGAATCGAAGTATGACCAGAATCAGGGTCATAACAGAACTCCGCGATGCGGTTGGCAATCGAGTCGATGGAACTTGCATCTGGAGCGGAATTTGGTGACCATATTTTAAGTGCTGAGTCAAGGTTTCCACTAAACGCAAATGTGCCGCTTTAAACTGATTTTGTTGTTGCATCAAAATTTCCTTCAACGCTTGAGCAGTTATTGTCGTGGTTCCGTGGGTTCGGACGTCGCCAATCGGTTACACACAGAATCTCAGTTTTGTGTTGCAACCTCTTCAAATGTAGTCAGATGGCTCCGTTGTATCCACACTGAGAAGCTAAAACGGATTCTGAAGTTGTCACGAAATAGTTTGCTTAGATTGATCACATACCCCTTATTGGTAGTGTGCGATCCGCTTGGTCATACTATTGAGCCTAATGGTGTTCCGCTAAGAAAGATCGTCGTGTATTTCACCTTGCAGATAACTCTTCCATGCACCCAACATATTCCCTCGAGAGGCGGTAGCGGCAGGTGGGTGAGGTGAGATTTAAGGTGGGCACTGGGCAGGCCGTAAACTATTACAAAGTTAGTCTAGGAAACGTGTTTTGTGAGGGCTGAAATACACGGTGGTTGATGTCGTCTGTCTTTAGGGATAGGACGCAGGAAGATCGTCTTCCTTGCAGCACTGATGACGTTAAGAAACATTATTGACCACAAGCCTGTTTGGATAAACATTAGCTCTGCACAGTTTAGAAATATGCCTATGTCCAGGGATTGCTGTGTCACCAGAATTAGTTTGCTTCGCTTGGTTTGATAGATTATAATTCACAGTTTGTTGATGCCTCAATGCTACAAGACTAAGAAAGATTTTGCGTTGCCCTACCCACGTGAGCTTGGTGTAGACGGATCTCACCAGTATCAGTTACGTTTATGTTACCTACCACTCCTCTGTAGTATTAGAATGCTCCCCATCCAACAGACCTCGTAATTCTCATTGGAGATTTTACAATGGCAATGAAGCCATTCTACACTGAAAGGCCAAGAAACACTGTGCAGCCGTTTCATTCCTGTTTGGAATCATCAGTAGTGCGCATGTCACAAAACTCGGGGAGATTCGTCCCCGAAATCTTTCTGCCAGTGGTTGAAACTCTCTGAGTCTCGTAAGATACGCACTGCTAATAATTCTTAACAAGATGGAAACATTTGTGCAGTTCTTCTCGGCCTTTCAGCATACACTGGTTTCACCGACAGGAAAAAATATCGAGAATGACCGCATTTCCTCCAATCACTACCAGACTTCTTAATGATGATTTTCACTGCCTACTTAGAGCAGTCAAACCAAATCACAATAGAATCACAGTGGGATGGAAGGAGGCCAAAAAGGAATGAGGGATAAACGTCGTCGCTACTCTCGTACGTCAAGGCGTTCTAATGCTATAAACTGTTTGGAGGGACAAGGCCAAACCACAAACGCTATATATGAGGATTAAGATGGTCTGACGACTAACTAAATGGGAGTCAGTTTTGCGAAATTCCAATGGAGAAAATATGCAGCTGTAGAGTTGCACAAAAGACTGTTTGTACGCCCACCTATGTAAGCGAAACGAATGTACTGTGACAAACAAACGAATGTACTGTGTGACAGGCTGGCGGAAATAACCTTAAGGATCGAATCTGTTCACTTACTTCAGGGTTATAAAAGTCGATTATCTTTGCCGAGATCATGACAATCGGCAGCTCATCCGACCCAAGGTCCTCGCCCTGCTTTCCTGCTGTGGTGATATGTAAAGCGAGCAAACAGCTGGGGTCAACATAAGAACCTGAATCGGATGAGGATCGCAACTCTTCTTCTGTCTGTTCCACTCCACTGCCTTTTTCCAAAGATCGCTTTGATGTCCCACATCCTGTTGTAGTCCCTGCTCCATCATCATGGCCTAATTTCATTGAAATGTTAGCTTCCATGCAAGCACAATATGGATTGGTATGGTCAGTGAGCCGCCGATGGAGGTCACACAACTTTAACTACGAAACAGGCGCACTGCTCCCAGTGATTTGGGATTAATGAACCTCCTATGTTTTGCCCTTACCAATGCGTGTGTTTCAACTACAACAATCAATTCCCATGGACCGACCATTTGTGTTATTTTCTGAAAGGACGCTACGCTCCACAGATAATTCTACTAACTCGGGAGCGGAAGTGTGCAGTTATGGACGACTTAGACTCGACGTAATAGCTAGACCAAGGGGGGGGTTAGAGTCCATGGTCTTTTCCGCCCAAGCCTATGCCTAATTATCATGACAGCAACACGCACGCTCTTTCCCACCCCAAGAGCGATCACTGCAAGCATGTACATGCTGTCCACAGCACACACGCGCACAAACCAACTAAAACACCCTATTGATTCGCGCCAACCGACCATGTGCAAAGAGAGAACGGTAAACGTTCTCAATGTATATGCCCTCTATTGATTGTCACTCAACCGGGACAATTAATTTGTGTGCGTGGAGTGTTTGACGTAGAAGAATCGATGAGCATCTTCATGAAATTCATAGCATTGGCCTAAGCGCTTTCTGGCCTGTAGGTCAAAAAGACATTAATTTAGAAAGAACATGGATTTTCGTAAGCTTTATGGACTCGATTAGACACCCTAGCTAACCACATCAGTTTCCATCATACCGATCACTTGCCCCAGTGTGCTTTATCTCGAAGCTAACTAAAGTCTAGTTTCCTTTATAATTAGCTTGCCCCAATCTCACCATTAGTGCTGTTGCTTCGGTAAGCATAGCTGACTAAGAATAACTACCGTTTCTCATAGTTAAAACAGAACGTACCCTATAAACAGAGAGCAGCCGAAGGCTGTGTGTGGGACATAACTGAAAGTGAAAAAGTACGAGAGAAAAAACATGGAAAATAAGTGGCAGAAATGATAAGCTTCTTCGTGTAGAATTTATCTCGGCAATTCTCACGCCAGTAATGTGAACGACATCCAGCTAATCAGTAAGCTGCGGGAAAATACCCGTTTAGTGATACTGATTGAAAATTATGAAGAAACGCCTGGGGTGGGTAAATGAGGGTACTTAAAGGCATGTATATTCACAAACTCTACCAAAACTTGCATGCTTCATAACATCACTACCGCTTACCCTTGATTGCTCCCAGAAAGAAACCAGCTACTGACGTCGTGGTGAAGCATACTTGACAGCAACTAGGAAGTGGTTGGTAGCGAGTGTATGAACATTAAATGCTGAAGCTGTTCAGCAAACAACTCGCTGAAAGGATAAGCTCGCCTACTAAATGAGATGAATATACGTAATATACGTAATTAAAAACAATTTGTTTGCTAGTTTATGCACCGAGATGAGCTCCTGGAAATCCCACACAGTAATCCAATTCTTTTTCTGGAGTATTGGAAATGTTTCTCACTTTGATGTATGGCTTTGTTGGAAGGGTTGGACCGAAGAGTTAGCAGTGTTGTGGGACGTGTTGAAAAAAAGTTTGGAAAATAATCAGCAAATTTATTCTTCTAGTCTTCTCCGAAACAATGAATTTCCGTTTTTCATAAAGGAAACTACTCACAAGGTTGCTGAAAACTCTTCGACAGCCCACGACCGGTTTCGCCCTTCTTGGGGCTCATCAGGTAGGCGCAGTCCCCGAGTTTACGTCAACCGCATGTTCTACTTGAACCCAAATTGAACTATTATCGAAAAATACACTCATTGCAAATCAATTTGGTTCTCTCGAGAGACTCAACTGAATGTCTCGTTTATGATATTATACAAGTGAATGTGCTACACACAGGCCGCCTCATGTTTCATTTGGCACGATATTCGAGATATCGCAGTATATTCTCATAGGAACATAAGGCTGACGGAAACTCGGGGACTGCGCCTATCTGATGGGCCCCAAGAAGGGCGAAACCGGTCGTGGGCTGTCGAAGAGTTTTCAGCAACCTTGT